CTAGAATAGGACCTGGTGGGTGGGAAGCCGAAAGTCAGCTGCAGTAGGAAGTTGGACAAAGAGGCCAAATTCCTTTGACTTCAGGGGACCTGGACTCAGGGGTCGGCATAGGCGTAGGGGTTGTGGGGGTGGTCTGGTTATTTGATTACATCAGCAACAATAGTGGGGATGTTGGTGTCTGAGCCTTTTGCATACGCAGTGTCTTTTGGGTAGATTTCCCTATGGGTCCCATTCACCCAGACCCACTTTACAAACAGACAGTCACACCACAGCCATCCCCTCCCCCAAACCTGCCAATCCAGTCACTTAAAAGATCAAAGGTTCCAGGGTTCTTTATCTTTTAATATCTTTCTTAGGCGGAAGGTATCTCTAATTACTGTCAATTAACTGGGATAATTTCTCCTTTGGTTTCCAGTGACAAAGTAATGAAATTATCTTCGTGGGCTAATTACAAAGGATGCAAATTTGAGGCATCTTGTAGGATTGTATCCTCTAGGATCGATTGACTTTTATTTGCGCGTTCTTCCAGAGGGTCTGACATATCTCTGATTGGTTTTTATATCATGCAATTTCAGCATGCTTGGATTTCTGTTTCTTTTTCTCCTCTTGTCACTAATAGGGAAAGAAAATCTTTTATTTAGTGCACTTTGTTGAAAGGTGGAACAGATCATACCTAGCCTTGGGATTTGTGACCATGATATGGGGTGGAAGGAGGAGTGAGTAGATCTGCATATAGAGGAAACTCTCAGAACCCTAGATCCAGGCAAACATGGGTGTGGAGTGGGACACCTTTGCCTTCTCACCACCTCCCTGCCATCGATCTCAGTCCTGACAGTGGCTCAGCAGTGACAGTCAATAGTGCAAGGATCTGTAGATCTAAGTATGGGCATAAGTTGCCCATACGAATTGCCCTTCTAGTTAGTGGCACTGGGTAACACTTTACAGATTATAGTTTAGAAGCTGAAGACCTGAGTCTGAATCCCAACTGTTACCACTTTTGAACTATTGCTCATCCCTGAGCAAATCTTTTTTGAATGTCACTATTTCCTTTATTTATACAAAAGAGATAATAAAATCTCTTCCCCTTACCCTCCTGGGGTGATATGAGACTCCAGTGAGGTCAAAGGTGTTAAAGTGTTTTCTAAACCTTAAAATCGCACATGTGCAAATTGTTCTTAGAAAGATCTAGGTGATAACATCACAGGGGACCCTGGCGTCTTCTTTCCCTGTGCTTGCCTGTCCTGTTCTCTCACCCTTAACCAAAAACAAAGCCGTGAATCTTCATAGATATGTCCTGGTGGAGAGGAACAATTCAATTTTCTAGCTCCCTTTCATTTTAACAAGCAAATGAAACTTCTAGATGTTGGAGACGGTGTTGTAATAATTTGTCACTGACATTCCAGGTCAGTTAGGGAAGCATGGGACATGTGAGAATCCCAAAGCATCCGTGGCAGAGGATGAAAGAGAAAAGGAACCAGAAAAGGAGCTCAGTGACTGTCAGGTTTTGAATGAGTGTAGAAGGATAGACAAACAAACACAAACAAACAAACACACCTTTTCTGCAGTTTCCCCTGGGGACTGATGAAATTCCTCTCTGCTGGCAACACCAGGGTCTTCAACCCAACTCAACTCAAGTGGCTCTCAGGTGCTTACACAACCTTAGACTCAAGGAAGAGCTTCCCAGTGTGAGCAGTTGGAAAGAGTTAAGAAGGGACTTCTGGGAACTTGGGGTCTCTCTGCATGGCGTTGAAACCCATGGGACAAAATGAGTAAAGTCATGACTTACAGCAGGGGTGGATGAGCAGACGAGATTCCAGAAGTTTTCTTCGGTCCTTTCTTCTCTACTGTGTCCTCCTCAAAGCCACACATTCTCAATTCTTCATCCTTAATGCCCGGCACATTGTTGTCCCCATCATGGAAGAGGCAGTGGAAAGATGAATGAGGAAAGAAAAGAATAAATAATCAGATTATGGAAAAAGTGTTCAATGTCATCTTGCTCCTTAAACTAAGCCATGAGCCTAGGTCTCCCTCATACATTCTTCCAGAACCCTCTTCCACTCCTGGGCACCATTCACAAAGCAAACACCTGTTTTAAGGTCTGTGCTTGGGGCTGAGATAACAGGTGAATGAGACACAGCTTCCCATCCACAAGGAGCTCACAGTAGTGACCTCTGCTTCTCTTCCCAAGCCCCTATCAACTTTCATCTCAACTTCCGAGCCCATGGGAGGAGTTCAGTGCTAGGATCTGTTTCCTGTTCTCTGTTTTGTCTCAGCCCTGAGGTGATTCCCATGAACACAGCTCACTCTTTTTTGGGATGAGTTTTGAATATTTATTACCTGTTTTTCTTCCCCAAGTATTTTTTTACTGTGGCAAAATATGTATAATTACTGTTTTAACTATTTTTAAAAAGATTTTATTTATTTAACAGACAGAGACACACACAGTGAGAGAGGGAACACAAGCAGGGGGAGTGGGAGAGGGAGAAGCAGGCTTCCCGCGGAGAGCAGGAAGCCCTATTCAGGGCTTAATCCCAAGACCCTGGGACCACGACCCGACCCGAACTGAAGAAGGATGCTTAATGACTGAGCCACCCAGGCGCTCCTGTTTTAACTATTTTTAAGTACACAGTTCAGTGACATTGAGAACATTCCCTTTGCTGTGCAACCATCATCTGTCTCCAGAGCTTTGCATCTTCCCCGCCTGAAACTCTGCCCCCATTAAACACTAGCTCTCCTCCCTGCCTCTTCCCAGCCTCTGGCAGCCACTATCCTGGATCTATCAGTTTGACTACTCCAGTAATCAAATAAGTGAATCACACAAGATTTGTCCTTTGGTGTTTGGCTTCTTTCACCTAGCATAATGTCTTCAAGTTTCATCCATGTCCTCTACGGAATGGATGTGTCAGAATTTTTTTTTCACTTTTTAAGCTAAATAATACTTCACTATATGTATATAACACATTCATTTATCCATCCGTCCACGGATGGACATGTGGGTTGCTTCCACATTTTTCACAGATGATTTTGATGACTTGCGCTCCACTCAGTTGGAGGAATGGAGTCTTTAAAATTTTTTTTTTAATTTAAATTTTAGCTAGTTAACAGTGCAATAATGGCTTTTGGGGTAGAATTCAGTGATTCATCACTTACATACAACACCCAGTGCTAGAGAAATGGAGTCTTAAATCTACACATACTTTGGGGATGACAGTTGCTTCCCCCACCCCCCACCATGAGATACAGGGAGGGCACATAAAACACCCAGTGGACACATATGGTAGGAGATTTGGAAAATACAGTGATGTATGAAAAAGAAGAAAATTTGGGACGTCAGGGTGGTTCAGTCGGTTAAGCATCTGCCTGCAGCTCAGGTCATGATCTGAGGGTCCTGGGATCGAGTCCCAGATGGGGCTCCCTGCTCTGCAGGGAGCCTGCTTCTCTCTCTGCCTGCTGCTCCCCCTGCTTGTGCTCTCTCTCTCTCTCTGACAAATAAATAAATAAAATTTTTTAAAAAAGAGGAAGAGGAAAAATTGCCTCTAATTTCTGTACCCGGAGATAACACAGGTGATCTGTATATACACAGAACAAAAGATAGGAAAAGAGCAATTTGGTTGTCTTAGTCCATGGGGCCTGCTGTAACAAAAGCACCACAGACTGGGGGGCTTGTAAACAACAGACATTTATTCTTACAGTTTTGGAGGCTGGAACGTCCAAGTCCAAGGTGCTGGTAGATTTGGTGTCTGATAGGAGCCTGCTTCCTGGTTCATAGACGATGATTTCTTGCCGCATCCTCACACGGTGGAAGGGGAGAGGGAGTACTCTGGGATCTCTTTCGTAAGGGCACTGATCCCATTCATGAGGGCACCACCCTTTTCTCCAGCTCTCCCTGCTACGGAACATTCAACACTCCCCTCCCATCTTCCACGTCACTGTCCTTCTTGCCACTGGAACCCTACCTATCCATGTTCTGGCCTTCATCGTTGTCCCTAAAGTCTAAAGAGACTTGGCCGTTTATTTATTTATTTATTTTACTAATCCAGACGGTGTCTATTTATCTTGTTAATAACCGCTCTTTTGAGAGACAGTTCACATTACCATAAACGTTGTCCTTTGAAAAATGTACGTTTTGGTGAGTTTTAGTATGTTTGCTGAGTTGTCCAACCAACACCGCTACATCACGGCAGAACATTTTGATCCCCCCCGCCCCCCCCACCAAAACAGAAACCCTCTACCATTAGCGATCACTCCCTCTTCTCCCTTCCCCCATCCCCTCCCACCCCTAGCCGCCAACAACCATTCACCTGCCCTCTGAGCCCGCAGATTTACCTACTCTGGGTATTTCATACACATCGAATCCCACAATGTGTCGCTTTTGTGCGTCTGACATCTTGCACTTGGCAGGTTTTCAAGGCTGGTCCGTACCGTAGCCGGTGTCAGCACTATATTCCTTTTCATGACCTGGGCATCCATCATATGAACGTGCCATCTGTCACGTGCGTGTTCATCAGCTGATTGGCATTTGGCTGCTTTCAAATTTGTGCTGCTGTGAACAGCACCTGAATTCTTCCATTGACCACCCTCGGTGGTACGATCATCTCCGTTTTAGAGATCCCGCACCCAGGCCAGAACGATGGGGACTCCATTCACATCTTGCACCTTCCTCTGTCTAGCAGATCAGGCCAGAGGAAGAGGGAGATGTTAGCTCCTCAGTGAGCTCCAAGCCCTCTACTCCTGGGAGGCCTGTTTGCCCGCCTTTCTCAGCTCTATGAAGCGTGAGGAAAAAAAGCACGTGTGTATCAAGGAGGCAGGACCCTAAGACCCTTTCCCTGGCTTGCTCAGGTTCCACAGTGAGAGGGGCTATGTGGAATCCAGCAGGAGCTCTGCCGTGTTAACACCGGGAACTCTCCCTGGGGAAGCGGGTCGGAGCCTCAAGCCCCAGCGCAGCCCTGCCTGCCCTCCTTCTAATGTCCAAGGGAAGCCAGACCTCGTCCTCGGAAGCCATGGGCCCCTCCCACTCTGCGGTCCTGTCCATGATAAAGCTCGGTTTGTGGTGGCTCCATCTGATCCCGGCAGGTGAGTGGGTGTCGTCACTAGGACATCATGTCACACCTGGGGGCTCTAAGGCAGCATGGCGGAATCTCCGGCAGGGACCTCATGGCAGCTGCCAAAGCCACGGGGGACTTCCAAGCAGCTCGCTGCAGAGCGGGAAGGTGACGGGGCATTCTCAGGTCTGAGCATGTCGCCTTGAAGCTCCCCAGCTTCAGCAAAAATGGGGGAGATGCCTGAAGTGGCAGAGGATTTTGTGGTTAGCATTAGCCAGAAGTTTGTTGGCAAGTGCATGGGAGTGAAGGGCTCACAGAGACGTGTGAAACCCTTCTCCCTCTGCTCACCCCACATGGACCAGGTGTCTCCCCCATACTGCTGTCCCTTGGGGCTCCTTAGTTCAAGGCTGCATCTTGTCTCCAGGTCAGGTCCACCCCACTCCTCTGCCTCCCTCTCCAGCACTTTTCCCCCTGCCTTCTTATCTAACAGTCACAGAGTAGGTGCCATTTCTTGAGCTCCAAGCATGCCTTGCTTGCTTTGGTTAAGCTCCACTAGACACTGTTATATTTAATTCTCAGCAGTGTTTAGAGATAGATAGGTTCTGGATAGCATCCCCATTTTACAGATGAGGAAACTGAGATTGAGTGGCTTTGATTCAACGGGAGAGGGACCCAGGCACTCACCACCATGGACTCCCGAAGACCCCTGTCTTCCTTCCCGTCCACAGGGTCGGCACAGCGAGCTTCCCCTACCCAAGCTGAGGACCGCCTCTTCAAACACCTCTTCAGGGGCTACAACCGCTGGGCACGGCCGGTCCCCAACACCTCGGACGTGGTGATCGTGCGCTTCGGGCTGTCAATTGCCCAGCTCATCGATGTGGTGCGCCTGTCCCCCATGCTTCTCCCCCTTGGGATCAGCCCCCAGACCACAGGTCCCTTTCCTGGGGTCCTTCCTCCCCCACTTCCCAGCTCCAGCCCTTCTCCATCCCACTGTGCCAGCTCTGGAGACCCTCCTGAGAGGGCGCTGATCCACAGCAATGGGTTGTCTGGGTGCCCTGTTTGTTCCACTCAACACAAACCCAGAGGACCCAAGGGGCCCATGTGCTCCTGAAGGATCTATAAGGATGTCAGTGTCAGGAGGGGGTGGAGGGTTGGGCTAGGCTTGGGGTGTCATGTGAGAGGTCCTTCTGGGACATAGGGGATCTGCATCAGCCCATCCCATTCCACCCTGTTTTGGGGGGCTGGCTCCATCACTCTATTGTTCTTACTCTTTCCACTGGGCAGGATGAGAAGAACCAAATGATGACCACCAACGTCTGGCTAAAGCAGGTGAGAACCGCTTCCCTGGTTGAGGCAAGAGTCGGGGTGGGAGCCCATGGACCCCAGACCTTCCCAGGACTGTCTCACAAACAGAGGGATTCTGAATTCACGTTTCACGTTTCAGGGGAGAGTTGCCGCTTGGGACGCTCCTAAAGCTGGCTGATTGTAGATGGCTTCTGGTAGGGGGTGTGCATTGAGACTCTGAGTCTGGCACCTGAGAAGGTTACCTACAAGAACCTAGGCGTCCCCTTCCTGGGGGTAGGAGTTTCCTGCATGCCGGCCATTGTTTGCAGATCAGCTCATTCTGAGTAGTCACTGAAAACCCAGGGAAGGTTTCATTCTGCCCACTGTATAGCTAAGGAAAGCCTGAAGCAGAGTGCATTTCAGCTAGAAAAGGGGGGCCCCAGGTGTGTTCAACTCGGAACCTCAGGCTCCTTCTGCAGGAGAATGCTGGGTGTTCCATGTTTATGATGCTTAACAAACCACCCCAACACTTAATGGCATAAAGTGACAGTTTATCATATCTCATGGTTTTATGGTGAGGAGTTCGAGCGGTTTCTTCCGCTTTGCATGGCAACTACTGGTGTTACTTGGTGCTATTTAACCCATGGCTGGTCTGCTCTGGAGGGTCTAAGATAGTGTCACTTATGTCCATTCCTTAGTGGGGATGTCTGGAAGGCTCTGGAAGGTTCTGGAAGCTGGGCCCACTTGGGCCCTTCACCCTCTTCAGGCATACTCAGGGTCTTTCTCCAGCAGGGGAGTTGGTTGCCTCACCTGGAAGTTCAGAGACCACAGAGCAAGGGTCCCAAGAGATAGGAAATGAAGCTGCTGGTTTCTTAAGGTCTGAAAACTGGCCTAGCATCACTCCTGGCAAAGAATGTGTGGCCCTTTTTGATGTACCATTCTCGGGGGCAGCACTTGGGGGCACAGGCTTTATTAGAGGCTGAATATATTCCTTTCCACTTGACCCTCTTCATGCTCTGCCCAGCCCCTCCCTAGGCCCAGAAGTGTAGACAGGTGGGAGAAAATGAGAAAGAGGACCTAGCCCTCTGCCTCCTTGACCCCCCGCTATTCCCTCTTCCTGCCCCACTAGAAAACTGACCATCTCCTATCTCAGAGGCTGGCACTCAGAAACCCATGACAATCGAAACTGGGATTGGCATCACTATTTTGAGTCTTTTGAATGAACGCCTTGCTTCGCATGACCCCAGGGCTGTATACTGGCCATGGAGTTTATAGTTGAAATCTTAGGAGAGAGTCATGGAGTCCATCGCTCTGACACTGCTCACCCTGCAGCTGCCAGGAGGTCACACGGCTCATCTTTACAGATTTGCAAATCGAGGCCCAGAGCGGTACGGGACTTGGGAAGCCACACTGTTCTGCAGTGCAGGGACCAGCTCTGGGATAGGTTATTATCCTGCCGCCCACCCCCCAGGGCTGGTGTCCCTGGCTTCAAGGGCTGGGATGGAGAGCTGAGGAAGGAGCGTGAGAGCCAACCAGCAGCCCCTCTGACTAACCTGTGATGTTCTGCAAGTTATTCAGCCTATCAGAATCTTAGTTCCTCATCTGTTAAATGGGGATAGTGTCCTCCGTTGCCTGCATTGGCAACTAATTGCCAATTACTATAACCCATGGGTACAGAGGCCCTCCAAATGTTGGTTGAAGCCTGAAACCTTGAGAGATGATGGACTTGGGGGGAAGGGAATACAACAATGAGGCCCAATCCCTTTCAAAATTGTTCGTCAATGTCCTGAGAAATCCTGACAATTTTACAAATTTTTAAACCTTCCTTATTTTGCAAGTTGGGTTCCTCTGCACACCTAAGCCTTCCCCTACAGGTGAGCTATCAATACCACTGCTGGGCCAGTGTCTCCCCAAGCCTGGTTTGGGTACCAACAGCAATGTTCCGTGAGATGGTTTTACTTGCCTTGCTGATCCTTTTGTAATCATCTTACATTTATATTTTAGTGGATATTTCCAAATGCTTTTGATTTTCTAGTGAAGTCCCTGATGTAAAATTTCAAAATTCAGGTGATCTTAAAAATCATGAGCAAATTTGAAGGAAAAAACTGAGTACATGATGATACAGACAGCACAGGTATATTGTCAAAAATTATGAACCTGGGACTTGGGTGCTTGGAGTTTGGGAACCACACCACTGAGCTAGACCAGTGCTCTTCCTTTCATGCATCTGCTTCCTGAAAATGCTATTTCCCTTCACTCCTTCCTGGACCCCTACCAGGTTGATGCTTTGTATAAACGTCACACAACTATCCTTGGAGGGGAAAAGCCTTCCATTGTGGGATCCTATTCAAGGGTGCATTACGACACTATTTAGTGAAGATGTGCAAAAGCAAAATGGCCCCTGGAATGAGGGCAGGCTCAGAGTCGGGGAGGCCAGGATTCAAGTACCGATGCTGCCACTTATTAGCAGCGTACCCTCCACACTTCACTCTCTTCATCCTTATCCAGAGGGTTGTTGTGAAGATTGGAAACAACCATCTAAAGGGCCTATGACAAAACTAGGTATACAGATGCTAGTAGCTATTATTTTAATTATGAAAAGGCCCTGGGAGGCAAAGACAGCCTTGTGGGGCAACCCCGGTCATTATCTGTTGGGTTGGTTGTTTCTTTCAAGTCCAGAAGGGAGGTGGGAAGCCCTCCCTCCCAGAGCTAGAACCAGACAACTTTAGAGGGAGAAGGCATTGTTTTCATTGCTGAGCTACACGTTTCCTGAGCATTTCCCCAGGGCTTAGTGCTAGGGAGCCAGAGTGAACCAGCTGTTGTCCCTGGCTGGTAGAACTTAAAGAAGCATTAAATAAATATGTAGGCAAATCCACATTGATCACCACTTGTGATGATGCCGAGAAGGAACATTTCAGAGAATGAATAATATTATCCTGGTTTTGGGGAGGAAATTTGCTTGGACCTGCTACTGGAACCAAGGCTGGGGCCCAGAGCCTCCCCTTCCTGCTGGGTCTCCCAAGGCGGGGGGGGGGGGCGCTCTGGAACGCAGTTTATAAGTCACTGTGGACTTCCCGGTCTGGACTCCCCAGTCTCAGCCACATAATCCTGGCTGGGTGTTTTCACTTCTCTGGTCCTCAGTTTCCTTACCTGTTCAAATGGGGAAATACTTCGGCCTGCCCAGCATTCCCTCCCCAGCTCTCCCATGGAGTCTCTTCTGAGATGGAGGGTGTACAAATCCTTTGTAAACTGTGAGGCATTAAAAAAACGTTGTTCCTACAAATGAGTGAGGTGGCTCTCCAGCATCATCCTACTAGGGGGGCAGAAGGAGGACTGGAGGCGGGACTAGCGGGACCTACTGTCCAGTTGTGCCCAGGACTTTGAGTACCAGAGCTGGGGCAAAACGGGCTTGGTTATCCCAGGCTGGACTCCCGATCCCCAGCTCCGACCCCTGTCCCGGCCTCACGGCCCTTTCTCCTCTGTGGGTATGGGGAGGCCCTTGTGTGTGTGGGGGTGCTCCCGAAGACAGGCGGTGCCAGGTGATGGGTCTTCCCTCCCCACATATAGGAGTGGAACGACTACAAGCTGCACTGGAACCCGGCTGACTTCGGCAACATCACATCCCTCCGGGTCCCTTCGGAGATGATCTGGATCCCTGACATTGTCCTCTACAACAAGTAGGAAGCCGGGTGGAGGCTCCTGGGAGGGGCGGGTAACGTGAAGCCTGGCTGGGTTGGACGTGGGCGGTCCCCCCTCGTGTCTCAGCTTCCTTGCCTCCTTCTCGACTCATCTTCTCACTCATCCTATCCCCTCCTCCTTTCCTCTTGATTCCTTAGTTTCTTCCATTTTGTTCTCACACTCGTCCACCAAAACTTACTGAGCACCCAGTCTAAATTAGCACATGGTGCTGTGTGTATGGGACACGGATTTGCCCACACCAAATGGTATTTGAAAAATCGGGTGGTGTAGACTGTGAAAGCAATGCCGAAGGGTGGGCGTTTTGCAGGATGGTGGTATTGTTGGAACCGTGAGCGGCATCCCCGGGGAGCACCCTCAAGGGGCGAACTCACTTGGCGTGGGTATTTTGTAAGACTCACATTATTTATAGTTGCCTTGCATTCAGGACCAAAAAAGGAGCCATTTTTGAGCACAATGATGAGACACTGATAAAAGGCAGGGGAGTCGAAAGAGAGTCCCAGTGAACACCAACAACACAATTAAAAAAAAAAAAAAAAGATAGAGACCTAGTCTTTCATTTGTCTGTTTGGTGTCAGGTAATTCTTCACTTAGAAAGCAAAACCTGAAAAGTATTTGACATTATGCTTGTCTGACGGTGTTTTCTAATGTGGAGCTCTAAGGAGCACCCATTCTCAGAGATACGAATAGATACGAAAAACAGTCGTGTGGTCAAAGAATTTTGGAAGATATGAACTGTGTGTCCATAACTCCTCCACCCCAGCCCCAGTCCTTTGGGAGCTGTGAGCACAAGATAGCATTTTCAATGTTGTTGGAAGTTGTGCTGCCAAGATACACATGCAGTCTAGGTTTTCTAACTCATTTGACCCGAATTAGGAAGAACTATCTTGAAACAAAAAAATAAAGGGGGACAGATCCATTTTTGAGTTTTGGTGTCTTCAGAGAAAGTCATGACAATGATTCCTTTATATCGCCCAGTCCTGGTCAGACCCAAAGCCCTTTTTCCTGAGCTGCGTCCATAAACACACAGATCAGCACGGATTACCAGAAGGTCTAGCTCAGGTGCCTGGTGTTGGCGGCTGTCACTGGACTCACGGACCCCTTCCTGCATATCTTTATGTGGAGCCATAACCCCGAGCCAGCACCCAAGATCCTTCTAGTTGTGCTCCCTTTGCACCTGGCAGGAAAGTCCGGATCAAAGTCCTAACATCAGATACAACCTAAAGTTTGGACCGTCAATAAAGCTTCGACCAGTGTCCCTTGATAATAACAGGAGACTCTTTGGCTAGGACAAAAGTCCAAACCAAATTCTTGCAGACATTTAAAGAAGGGTCTCCTTCATCCAGACATTCCACTCCAGGTTAAACAGGAGGATCAAGGAAATTGCACCTTTCTTTCCTCCAAATGGGGCACATTTCGCCATCTAGTGGTAGCTCTGTGTGGTGACCCAAAAAAAAGGTTAAACTTCGGCCTGACTTGTACCTGTTTGTCAAAGTTCCTGTTTCCAACCTTCCGAGTTTCCCGTTTTCCAATCCCTAATCTGGCACTTCTCCATAGAAAAGAAGTCTGTCTTCCCGTGTACTCCTCTGGTTCCCTTGACTTTAAGAAATTGGAGGGAGAAGGAAGGCTCCTTGAACACTAGGGCCCAGAGCCCACAGCACCATCCCATCAGGCTCTCAGGAAGTCCCAGCAAATGGCCACTGTTCCTCCAGTACTCCCAGAGCCCTGGTGGGCCCTTGGATGCCTAGCGCCATGATGCCACAGTGTCATCTCCCACCACCCTTTCTTATGCCCCTGCCCCCTCCCCCTGCCACCCCCAGCCTGAGCACACACTGAGTTTTGTCTCTCCCCTCCTCTGTTCCTTATTCCCTGCCTTTTCTCCACTAGTGTGCTCTCCACCCCATCTCTCCACCCATCCCACTGGCAACTTTAAGGGTGAGCCTGCTCACTCCAGCCAGAAGGGATGTCCACCCCCGCCCCGCCCCACCCCAGGTGGACTGCCTTGGGGTGCTATCGCCACCCCCTTGGGTTATAGGTGTTAAGGGCTGCATCTCATTTCCTCGTGGTTCTTTGTGGTTCCTTAAGGGCAGGCCTGTGCCTCACATTCCATCCCCCACAGCTCGTGTAGAGGCCCTAGCGGATGAGGCTGGTGCAGAAATGCCCAGAACACAGATGGAGTCGAGGAACTTGCTTCCTTCACCAGCAAAGGTGTTAGGTCTCTTCTGAGCCAGGAGCTAAGGATCTCAGGTGGGAAAAGATGTGACCCTAGACGAGGGCCTTGCTCCCCATCTGCTGTGGGGAGAAAATAGAAATAATCACCCTAAAATATTAAGTGAACACAAACAGGCCATATGACTATCTGTCCCATGTGTTTATAAATATGTAGAAAATTATATATATGATGTGTGTGGCACTCAAATATAGATGACGTATATATGTATAATATCAGAATGTTAATAGCGGTTGTTTCTAAAATTCTTGCTCTTTTCCTATATTCTTCAAAATTCCTGCTTTTGTCATTAAAACGATAGTGTTTGAAAGACAACGCAGGTAGCTCTGAGTGTGGGTGTGCTGGGGGAGCCTCCCGCACTTGCACAGATCACGACAACTGAGCCGGGTCCGGCTTTGTTATTCGGGTGCCTGGCACTGGCAGGTGGGCTGAGCCGGGCCCCCCAGCTCCTCTCCTCTCCCCAGTGCAGATGGGGAGTTTGCGGTGACCCACATGACCAAGGCCCACGTCTTCTCCACGGGCACCGTGCACTGGGTGCCCCCCGCCATCTACAAGAGCTCCTGCAGCATCGACGTCACCTTCTTCCCCTTCGACCAGCAGAACTGCAAGATGAAGTTTGGCTCCTGGACCTACGACAAGGCCAAGATCGACCTGGAGCAGATGGAGCAGACGGTGGACCTGAAGGACTACTGGGAGAGCGGAGAGTGGGCCATCATCAACGCCACTGGCACCTACAACACCAAGAAGTACGACTGCTGTGCGGAGATCTACCCCGACGTCACCTACTACTTTGTCATCCGGCGCCTGCCGCTCTTCTACACCATCAACCTCATCATCCCCTGCCTGCTCCTCTCCTGCCTCACCGTGCTCGTCTTCTACCTGCCCTCGGACTGCGGCGAGAAGATCACGCTCTGCATCTCCGTGCTGCTCTCGCTCACCGTCTTCCTCCTGCTCATCACCGACATCATCCCCTCCACCTCCCTGGTCATCCCGCTCATTGGCGAGTATCTGCTCTTCACCATGGTCTTTGTCACGCTCTCCATTGTCATCACGGTCTTTGTCCTCAATGTTCACCACCGCTCCCCCAGCACCCACATGATGCCCCACTGGGTGCGGGTGGCCTTTCTGGGCTGTGTGCCCCGGTGGCTGCTAATGAGCCAGCCCCTGCCCTCCTTGGAGCCCAAGCACCCCCCAGATCTGAAGCCCGGCTCCTCTTACCACTGGCTGGAGACCAACGTGGATGCGGATGAGAGGGAGGAGGAAGAGGAGGAGGAAGACAGATGGGTGTGGGCAGCCCAGTCCTTGCCCCGCCTGGGTGTCCTCTGCAGCCATGGTGGTCGGCACCAAGGGGCTTTGGGTCCCAAGGCAGACGCCCGGTGGCAGCAGGGTGGGCTTCTGCTGTCACCTCGCATACAGAAGGCGCTGGAAGGTGTGCGTTATATCGCCGATCACCTGCGATCTGAGGATGCTGACTCTTCAGTGAGTTGGGGCCGGGAGAGGGGCTCTTCCTCTGGGTGGCTGTCCTTCGTCCCAAGGTGTTTAGACCACCCAGTCTCCTCCATGGGGGCTCATTTCCTTCTGTTGTGGCCCTCAGGAGTCTGGACTAAACTGTGATAAAAGACGTCTAGCTGGCAGGTGGCAGAACGGCAGCCAAGAACACCCCAGCTAAGGCTATCTGGGGAATAACAAGCCAGAGAGGGAGGAATCTCAGAGGCTGAAATTCCCCGTGCCATTCTTGGCACAGTCACCCTATAGGTGGTGGGGGAAGGGGACAGAGGGAGGCGAAGGGAATATCACCAGACGATAAACGAAGTAAGTCAGCCTGCTGCATCCTCAGCCTTCCTCCTTTGTCCTGATGGATTCCTCCCAATCCTATTCGTTTGTGGGCTCTGGGCATTTTGTAGAAGTCACTATTCACCCACAAAGCCTGAGGAACCTTGGTTGTACCCGGTGGGCTCCCCGTCCCAGCCCCTGTCAAGCCCATCGTTAGTAGGTAGGTCAGCAGGTACCGCTCGGGATCACAGACTTCTTCTTACCAACCTAGGGAAGGATGGAAGGCCTGTGGGTGGCCGTTTTGAGTGGTTAGGAAAAATTAATGGTTATCTCACCGGTGAGCAGGGAGATAACCCCACCTGCTTGCTTGGGTGGTGAGGCCAAATTCCACAAAGCCCTGCCCCCTGTGACCCTCCCAGACTTCCCCAGGGCCACACCTATCCTCACCTACCTCCGTGGCTCCACCTCCTGCAGTGGGTGGGGGATTGGGGGTGGGGTGAGGGAGAGGCGATCTGTGGCGGGGGCACAGTCTCTGCCATTTTGTAACTGCCAGGGGGTTGAGTTTAAATCGCTGCACCTCCCCCCCCCCCCCCCCCCCCGGGAAGGTCCATGCCCTTTGGTGGTTCTAGAACATCTGGCCTCCCTTATCTGAAATTTGAGAGTCTATGGAAAGGCTCTGGCTCACGTAATAGGGGTGAGATAGGGCAGGGATCACTAGGAGAGGCTTGTTTGGGTCTTGAGACCACCTTAGGTTCCCCAGGTCTCGGTGAGGCCACAGCTGCCCCCAGTGTCATCCTTACAGAGGCTGTGCATGGGTGGGACACTTCCCCTCTCCCAAGGCCTGGCCTCTGTCACAGTGAGCTCATTTCCACATGCAGGTCAAGGAAGACTGGAAGTATGTGGCCATGGTCATTGATAGGATATTCCTCTGGTTGTTTATCGTCGTCTGCTTCCTGGGGACAGTTGGACTATTTCTGCCTCCATTCCTGGCTGGAATGATCTGATCTCCTTGTCCCTTGCTTGGACCCAAAGGTGACACTGCTGACCATCTTTAACCACTACCCCCTCTAGTACAACTTCGGGTTCAAGGCCATCCAACTGCAAGCGCCTCTCTGTGGAGTCCCTACACTGGCCCCATCATCGAAGACTCCTTGGGTCAATTCACTGAACTTACTGTACTGTGTGCCGAGAATCTGCCAGGCACAGAGCCCAGTTTTGGATGCTGGGCAACCAGGAAGTGAGGAACTTGCTCTGCAGAAGGTTACAATATGGTGATGACAATGTGAAACCATGTAAGTTTCTCCTACAGGAGCCCTGAAGACGCTGAGTAACAGGAGGACCACGAGGGGCAATCCAGGGGGCAGATGCACAGACCTCCAGGGATGGGTGCATGGGGAAGAGAGGAGAGGGTGCTTCAGGGGGTGGAAGGACTGTGAACAGCATTTTGGATTCAAGAACGAGCCCAGGGTGTCAGGAACAGGCAGGCTGAGATGGGGCTCCAGTGTGGGAGCCATGGGAGGAGGTTGGAAAGGCAGGTTCGGGTATCTTGAGTCTGATCCTGCAGGTCTAACATTGGTTGACCCTCCCTGGAAGGAAAGGGGGAAGCAGGGCCCCAGTGGGGTAAAAGGTACAGGTCAGACCTTTTGGGTGGCAGAGGGAGGTGTGGCTGGATGCAAGTAGCTGGGTCATCCCACCTGCCTAGAAGCTCACTTGAACCCCTTGCTTTCCCTCACCTGTAGCAACACCCCCTCAGCTTCCCGCAGGAAACAGGCTCCGCACTAGCTGGCCCCAAGAGGTCTGGCCACTTTGTGGTCCCTGCCATCTGTCCTTGAATGCACATTGACAAACCAGGAAGGTATCCTGGGTCATCCTTGACTCAAGCTTGCAGCTTGCTCCTCCCACCCACTCACGGGGCAGGTGATGGCCAGCCCGCAGGACTTTTGCTCGGAGTGACTGAAGGGAGTGAGGTGGGCTGCTTTGCACCTCGACTGCTGTGGAAATGCAGAAGCTGCGGGACGGCTTCCCTTCCCAGCCTGGCCTCCCAGTCCCTCCTGAAGTCCTGCAGTGGCTTCTGAGCCGCTCTGGATTAGCCCAGGAGTCCTCGCATCTCAGAATCTAGCAATCCACAGCCAGCAGCCACATGCTGGAGCCTGGGGGGAGCTCCTGCCCCCAGGTCAGACCTCACCCCGCCTGTCCAGCCCTCAGAGAGCAGAACCTCAGCCACTAACAGAAGCAGACACTGGCTCTCTGGACGGTGTGCGGACCCCAGATAGGAAGCCAAGGGGGGTGAACTTCTGGTTTCCTTGGGCCTTGGGGTACTCCACTTACTTCTCCCTGACAAACACAGAGAAAGCCTGCAACACCCAGGCCAGGCCCCTACTCCTCAGTTCTTCCCCAAACTCCCCTGCTCAGCCGCCAATCTGGTTTCTGGCTACCCCCTACCCCCCACCCCCGCAACTCCTGCAGGGGCAGTCCCCCAGCCTCCTTTCTGGTCCATCTTGGCTCTCCCAGACCCCATCTCCTGGTGCAGTGTTGTTCCTTCATGCTATTCCATCTCCCACCCACCTTGCATGTGAGTAAAGAGATGAAATAAAGCTAAGGCTGGTGCTCGTTCAGCTGCGGGACCCCTCCTCAGCATTCTCAGGACCATTCAAGCCCCCTGCACTCCAGTGGCTCGCATGCCAGCTGGGAGAGTGCCATCGGTGTTCCTCACACAGCAGCACAAGAGGGGTCTTCCCTTGGTCCCCACTGGAAAGTCACCCTTAGGTCAGGCGCAGGGGAGAAGGGCCTGGAGCCCACACCTTACCCCACTGCCCCCTGGTGTCACCACGCACCCCTCCGTGCTCGAGCCTGGCGTCGGCTCTTGACCTACGCCCAACAGAACACAATCAATTTCTTCCAGGGCAGTGGCCCAAGGTCAACGTCACCCTCCTTCCAAAGAGCAGGTCAAGCAAACAAAACAACCAAACCACAAAGCAAATGGTACAATTTTAATTCATCCACAAGTCAAATAGAAAGAAGGTAGAAGAGTGTTTTGCACAAACACAAAGGAGGGGTGAGGCTGACGGGAAAGTGGGGGGGGGGATTGGGCAGGTGGGGGGGGTGGGGTGGGGGTGGGGGAGAGAAGGGGAAGTAAGAAAAGAGGGAGAGAAGGAAGGGGCCAAGTCAGGGAAGAGAGAAAGGGCACAGGGAAGAGAGCAGATTGTGGTCTGAGTCCTGTTTTGCCCTCGTCTCTCCCCTTCCCCCGCAATGCTTGGCGTGTAGACCACACAGCGCCTTGTGCCCAGACTCCCAATAGCTTGTTCCTGGACTGGGTCCCAGGTCCCCGCCTCGGAGGGGGCACTTGGCTGTTAGTCCAGACCACACTCACATTAAATAAATTCCAATATACACTGTACAAGAAAGCCAGGCCCATCCCTCATCTCGCCAGCCGCCCAACCCCAAAGGAAAGCCCCTCCCCAGCCCCTCGGTCCATCCAAGGACCTCCGTGGGCAGAACAGGAAGGAATAGCTTGGCTCCAATAGACCTGCCATGTCCTTGCAGAAAGCCATCGTGACCACTAGGGGCACCAGTGTGACCACAGCGGAGCAGGTGGGTGTGAGGAGGGAGCGGCCAGCCGCAGCAGGGCTCCCTCTGAGCCCTCTTGGTCACACACCCCTGCCCCGCCCCTCAGGCGTCTAGAGCCCTGAATCCCCTCTGTCCAGCTGCAGCCTGAGCAGCACAGTCTGGGGTTGGGTGGGGGGAGGGGGTCGTGCAAAGTGGCAAGGGGAGGCCTCCCCACAGCCTTCCCCCAGAAGACCCACATGACCGAAGGCAAGGCGGGGGCCAGGGGGAGGCAGGGGAGGGAACACTACAGGCAAGGGCAGAAGATGCAGGCAGGTGGCGCCCACCCTCCATCACTCTGTGGGCGGGTGGGCCAGATTGGCCAGAACTTTGGCCTGGTCTACTGCATCCAGCAGGTTCTTGGCATCCACGGCCAGAGTATGGGAGGCCGTGAGCATCTGCCGCTTGCACTCCTCACTCAGGGAGGTCACGGCGTTTTGCTGGGCCAGGCGCATCTTATTGATGAGCTCTGCTAGGTCCTTGTTGAGCAGTTTCTGGGTCCCCTCGATCTGTAAGAAAAGAATGCTTGAGAGGCTGGGAGCCTGAGCAGTGGTGACGTTTAAGCTTGGAGAATGGGGAAGCCGTGCAAGTATCCTGTTTGGGCTTGGCCGAGGCAATCACAAGCTTTCTGGGGGACAAGTTTGATCCAAGGCCCCATGTGGCCTGGAGACAGACATTGCAGATGCCCCAGACCCTAGCCCACTCCATCCTAGCTCCACCTGACGCAGCCCCACAGACCGTTCCTTCACTGCTCTACCCCCTCCTGCTGACCCAAGGGTAGAGTGAACGTCGGGCGACAGGTGCCCTTATTCATTAGTTAGCTGTCTACCTTCAACTCAAGAGCCCGGGGACCGTGGCTTGAGCTGTAGGGTTTGGCTTACCACCACATCCCAGTGCCTAGCACACTGCTAAGAGCGCAGATTCAGCACCCAAGATACTCCCCAGTGCAACGAACAATGGAGCCATCACGTGGAGGGTAAGGACCTCTAACAGGGAAGGGACAGCACCAGCTGGGGCTCCTCTATGGGCTGCTACTGTCACCCAGAGGAAGGCTGGGAAATGCCCAGGCCCTCCTGCATCCTGTCTCGGACAGTCACATGTTGTGGGTACAGTGATGTCATGTGGCCATCCCCTGAGCTGTGTCGCTGGGAGTCGGTGGCTCACACAGCCTGGCGGGAGGGCATGGGTTCTGCTGAGCCCCATGACTGGTTTCCCAGGCAGACAACCAACCCATGTTCCAAGACGCTAGTGTTCAGCTTTTGACTATGTTCAGAGTCTCCTATGGCCGCGGTAACAGCCCATGACCAGTGGGGTGGCTCAAAACAACACAAATTAGTTTCTTCTGCTCCTGGAGGTCAGAAGGCTGGAAATGGGTCCTATGGGGCTAAAGTCAAGGGGATGGCTGGGCCACGCTCCTCCTACACTCAAGGGGAGAATCTGTTCCCTGCCTTTTCCAGCTTCTAAAGGTTGCTGCCTTCCTTGGCTTGTGGATCCTTCCAGCAGTGATGTTATCCCAACCTCTGCTTCTGTCATTCCATCTCCTTCTCTGACTCTTAAAGGATGTCCGCTTCCGACACCCTCTTACAAGGACCTTGGGCCTCATTGCACCCACTTGGATAAGGCAGCATAGTCCGATTGCCCCATCTCAGGATCCTTAAGTTAATCACACCTGCAAAGTGCAGGACCCCAGTACTGTAGCACACTTAGCCTTAGCGTGGCAGGTGATTAGATAAAGGGTCTGGGAAGGGAAAAGGCAAAGGGAAGGTCTATCCTCCCTTGCACACCCTTGTGCATTACGGAATCACCGCAACTGTCTAAGACTTAAAGGGGGAGACTCCCCCTAGGAGGCTGGCTGGGTTCCTGGGCACTGGCTCTGCACCCTCCCCCCTTCTTCGCCCTCCCCGTGGTCCCGCTCAGATTTGCTGTGCAGAGCCACGTGTGTGGAAGGTGGGGAGGCAGACAGGAGGCCGCCCTGTGGTCCTCCTGAGTGTTCTGTGTGAAACGCAGCTGGCGCAGGTGAAGGCGAAGGGCAGAAGTGACCGCCGACAACGCTGTCTGGGAGAAGTACACCCACCTCTGTCCGAGAGGACGACGGCAAGGAGGGCAGGAGATCATCCACACTCCCAATGAGCTTCCGCAGGGTCAGGCCCACGTTCTGTGGGAGAGAGGGGTGGGGGTACAATCACCTCTTGTTTTCGGAGAAAGCTGTGCTTCCCCAGGGAGGAGCCCTCCTAGGATGGCAGCTGCCCCGTCAACTCCCTGGCACTAAATTCCCACCAGCCACTTTGCATTAAAGGGAGACTTTCTGGGAAAGGCACCTGCTGGGCGGACAAGGGAGCCCAGCGCCACCCCCTCCCATTCAGGGCCAGAAGGGGCAGCCTCCACCCGCCCTGTCCATGGC